GTTTAGAGAGCACTACACCTACTCACGGTGATGCTTTTATGTACAAAATAAAAAGGATTGAGGAAACAAACTTTAAAGTTTAACAATTTCCGAGAACCCCATTAAATCACGATAATGGGTGCTTGTAAGCATAAATTTAAAGCTCTTCAGACGCCTCCACTGCACTCCCACGTGTGCCAACAGAAGGGTTTATTTTTAATGTTAGGCTGATGCTGTCCATTGACTGTGTAAAATCTTCCTATGAATGAAGAGGTCTAAAATTAACCATACACACATTGACATTTAAATCACGACGAAATGAGCCTCCAACGAAGGGATACAGTAGAGTTTGCAAATCAAGATGTTCCAGTAAATTGTGAATGGAAATGAGTGCACCAGAAGCAGCATGAAATCATAGTTCAAGGAATGAGCGTGGATTTAGATATTACCTATCATTTCTATAATCAATTCATATACGTCAAGGCATCTTGGCTTTTGCCCCGTCAAAAAATTCAACCTATATTTTCAATGAGTCTGATCTTTGGATAGTTCTTCTAGTAAATACGTAATATGATTATCAGTTGAACGCACATTTTATAGTGTTGAGTTGTCTGGCGATTGCCAATTGCGTCATTGAAGAGTTTGCTGTTTCATCAGAAATTCGACTTTGACAAAGAATACAGCGACTCTTGGAAATAACGCAGTTGTCACATAAATATAAAATGTCAAGCGCTCTTCATTAAGTTTCATTTGACATTTTCTTCTAACGCTCATTGCGCCAATGGTTCCCAAATAATATACACCCTTGAGAAATTGAAAACTGAGTTTTGATGAGTTTTACCGTGAATCAAATTTTACTGAAACTAAATTTCTTCTGCAAAAGTCCATCAACATTACATACACTTAAGAGAACCACTCGTTCAATTAACAAATTACAGCCATGTGCCCTAGTTTATTTAGCTAGGTAATGAACTGAAAGCATTGAAGGGTAGAGTTTATTTTATTTGTCTTGTTATGTTTTGCACTATATTCAATTTCCTGTGGATGCGATGCACGAAAATTCTCAATGTTCTTCCATAATTGATTGCTGCTGTTTAGTTTTAATAACATTAACTTTAACAGCATTATATCTCACTTGAGAACATATGTTTTAATTCTTTATTGCAACCTTCATCTATCTGTGCACTTCTTTTGTCGGATTTAAAATCTCTGAATGGAAAATAAAACGAATATCGCGCTTTTCGTGTTATATTTCTAAGCTTTCCTTTCTTGCATTTCCCGCTTTTATTGCCACTCGCAGTGCTGGTGAAATGCACAACTGACGTGAGGTAGAATTTCACGTGAGAAATTCAATAAAATAGCAAGAGCAGTGCTGTTTCTCGAGAGGAAACTTTAGATATTGTGTAGAATGGGAATTTCTTTTGCAATATGTGCATAATTCCAATTCACCACCCTAAGCATTACCTGAGGGATCAAATGATGAGATAAAATGCGATGTGAATTTCTCGACAGCGTTTCACTAGATCCTTTGAAAGATACATGAGACATGTGATTCAATCTGCTGCACGTGTGTGGTTTTTATCCCGAAACGCATAATCCATATAGAACACATTCTTGGAGTAGAAATAGCATGTCTTTCAGTGCCAGAGACAAAAAGGACATCAATTTAATTCATACAATTAGTCCATCTAACTCCCTTAAAAATATAATTTAGTATTTGATTGTGACTATTACGTAAAGTAAATATAAAATATATTTTCTAATCAGTCAAGCGTGGTGGAAATAATATTTTAAGAGCCATTTTCTTCAGCAGCAAGAAAGGGAAAAGTTTGCCAGCAAAAGGTGGTGTGAAGGAAAGTTTCGAAGAGCTGTATTGAAAGTTCCTTGAAAACTTTTTGTGCAGTACTTGTTATAGTTCAAACGTTTGAGTTCAGGTTCAATACTATTGCGGTCATAGACTTGTTGTATGACTCGCTTTGCTCATTCCTCTATGAGAGACACAATATTGTGGCGTGATAAGATGTGTATATGGCTTTTAGCCCGGCAACCCAAATAATCCATCCACGTCCCGTCAAAACGGAAATTAGGCAACTGTTACACTGCAAGTGTAAATAAGATGATTCAAAATCCCATAAAGACAAATTGAGTCTGGCGTATGGGGAAAATTTAAGCATAACAGACAGCGTGATGATAGACCATTATAAATAATGAATATTGCTCAAAGTTTCGCGAGCTTTTCCTCGTGTTGTCTTAAAAGGTACGAACTTCTCTGTCTTATCAAGATGCGGAAGTTTCAAATGTTCCGCAAGGAGCAGAGCAAAGGTTTAAATCATAATTCATTCTGAAAGGAAAAAAACCACCGTGAGTATTATATGTATATGATATATTAAGATTTACGTAGCAGAAAATTGAATTTTCCCGGGCTCAATTCATACGTTCAATATTATGCACATACATTATATATTATCCAATAACTTTTCAAAGTGAAAAGATAAACTACAAATAAACTCCATTCATCTCGTTACCAACTATGACGCATAAGCTAACAATGAGTTGCTAAAGCATTTCTACACCCCTGAATAAGATGCAAATCTTCTAATTGGCAAATTCCCAAAGTTTATACAAACTTGAAATGCAAATTCACCTCTTCAGGCTGCCAAAGAGAAATTAATTCTGCTAGAGTAGAAAACCTATAATCCACAATGTGAAAGCCTTAGGATCCAATTGAGAATGCTGTATTGAATTACGTGGGGTGAATGTGCGCAAAATTCAATGACCATGGCCTCAATAATTCTCTGATTACAGCCACTCCAAAAACTGAAAATTTAGCGTCTAGCCGATCATTTATAGAAGAGGCGTCAGTATGATTTATAAGTTGTTATTGAAGCATGTTTGGTCCGAGATTAATTTGATTTTGATAAACATACGCATAATAAGAGCTAGGCAATTACAGTTATCACCATTGTTTAGATAATGATCTGTTGTGTTTTCGAGAAATTGAGCAACACGATATCAAAATATTTGTCACCAGAGAGAATTGACCAATAATACGTTTTTTGACATTCGAAAAGCATTCGTCACGAGTGAATAGATACAGTGAACAAGTGTTGTCCGAGTTGAGAAAAGGCTGAAGAATTTTCTCCATGAGTAATTGACATGTTGTGAAAGTTTAACGAATTTGTGAGAGCTTTCGACAGTCAAAATTGAGAGTCACGCTTGAAGAAGAACAGTGCGGAGAGTGGATTAAAAAATAAATTCCAGTAGCCTCCATCGTTCCTGCCTCATGAATTATGAATGCAGAGAAAGAGTGGCGAGGCCTCAGTGAAAGGGTTATCATTGTCCCACGTCATGATCCTTTTTTAATAAAATTGTCATACAGCAAGTGATTGACGCAGACTCTATGTATATAATTTTTCCGCAGTAAAAGTACACAACACACCAAGAAAAACATAAAAACAAACATTCAGCTCTATCTGTTTGTTATGTACATGTACACATTCCGGCTCCCCCTTATTAAGCGGTCAATAAAATCACCCGTCACGGAGATAATCAATTGGAAACAACGTTTCTCTCACGGTAGATTTATTGTCGCCTTTATGGCGAAATGTGTGTCAGAGAAGAAAAAAAAAGCTTTCCCTTCGCCCTTGGAAAATCTTAACTTTTCACCTTTTCTCTTCTGCCATCAATCCAAGGCACAAGAGAGCTTCTCCTATGTACAATTCACGTCTTTTCATAACACTTTTTCTCTCACACGGAAACCTTTGTTTACACTCTGATCTAAACTGGGACAGATTGCTTGTGATTTATCGCTTTTCTAGACTTTTTGCCATGGAAATGAGATAATAATGCCTCTAAGTTTGGCACTTGTCTGAGAAAATCCTTGTTGCCAGGCATTTCGGAAGTAAGATGGCAAATTGTTTCTGACGACACACAATGCGATTGTTTCAAACAATGAGTTCACAGCTGAACGATTAATTGATAAAAACATATCTGCTTGTTGGATGCTATCGCGAAACGGGTCAGTGCGTTAATTGTTCGTATCGAGGCGTTCAATTTCAGTTGGAAATCGCTAAATTTATTCAAGTGGGGTGTACAGAGAATTTTATGGTTTCCCAAATTCTGGGAATTTGAATTCACTGTCGATCGAAAACATTTGAGTTTGAGCCTATTTTTAGAGAGCTGTTAACATGGAGATAATAAAAAATTCGGCACACTTTAAGATAGGTATTTGTGAAAATGTTTATAAATATCTCCTAATCTTTAGGATAGTGACTCATGGATATGTATTCACCGGATGATCCATACATTGAGACAAATGGATGCATTTATGACTAATTAACTCCATTCCAATTTAAGAATAAAAATTTTCAGGGTTGAAAAGAAACTTGACGATAAGTGAAGGGTTAAATTTATATATGCAGAGACTTTACTGTCATTTTCAGAAAATAGAGCACTCTTCCAAGCTTCGTCGAGTCAATCAATAGCTTCATCCGCTAAAGCATTCCATCCATAACTCAATTGCTCCAATGGTGGAGAAAATTGACTGTGGGCGCCCTTCTTAGCTCGCCGGGTCGTCAAATGGTATGTGAGCTCAAAACTCAAGTTTATATCTTATGTGTCACGATCATGTCTATACCACCGGCATCTACATAAGCCGCAGGATAATTCTCACCCACCACGAAAACTTGCAATTTTCTCATCTGTTTGCTGTGAAAAATTCATCTCATGACGTGCGGTTGGAGGGTGTGAAAAGTGGACGTGACAGATGTGATAAAGACGCTATTTATCCGGCTTTATTGAATGCCACGAAGATCCTTGCGAGAAGCCCCTTCAAATTGATAATGCGAACATTCCACGGATTTTCATTCACTCATTCTCTGCCCATTGTGGGTCGCTAAATATCCGCCGACAGCGAATCAGCCATATTGACAGTCCCGTCGTCAAATCAGTATTCACAATGCACTGGCCTTTGGGCTCTTCAGTTTCCGCGAAACCATATCTCAGCGTAATGCATTCGCATCTTCAATAGAAATTGTTTTTAGTTTTATTATTCCAAGATAAATGAAATTTCATGCATGACAGGGTATCAAACGTATCAAACTAGAAATTCGTCTTTCACAATTCTATCCTGAATGTCACAAATATAAGATCTAAGATTAAGAGAATCACACTGTGTGAAATTATCAAAGCGCATCTACTGAAAATATATACATTGGAAATTAGTTCTTCATCAAATCAACACTGTGGCCTCTCTCTCTCTGTTTGTTTCTGTATAAATACACTAAACCATTAATACACAGGGATACAGAATTTCTCAGCACAAATTAGCGAGTCTGTTGCGCGTTACGAGAGGCTATTGACTTTGAAAGCTTATATGGGAAGGCTGTCGTGAATCCACCTCCTGGGTCCGCCCTCAGCGAAGTCTGCAGCAGCGTGGTCGGTACCATTGAGAATCCATTTGGTGGTCAGGAGTCCCTCGACTCCCACGGGGCCTCGAGCGTGAATGCGAGCCGTGGAAATGCCCACTTCAGCACCCAATCCGAAGCGGAAGCCGTCAGCGAAGCGCGAGCTGGCGTTATGGAATACACAGGCACTGTCCACCTGCTGCTGGAACTTGCGGGCAGTCTCGTCTGGAGAGAGAAAAAATTACTCAGCCTGAGTGAATTGTGATGGAGTACATTGTATGTTTTAGTCTCCATTTTGGTAGTAAAATATTGAAATCACAATGCACCGGCGTTGACTACAGCGTAATTGTCAGGACTGCGTAAAGCTATCAGTGTTTGGACTATAAAGCTTTCATATTTAAAAAAAAGTCCCTTTCTATGCATGATTGACTCCACAACTGCAGCTGACATAATTCATTTCTATTTCAAAAGTAGCAATAACAATCGCCTCTAACCAATGTCAGCATTAAAGTTAAATCTCCTCCATGCGTTCAGACCGCATTGTGGATTCTCTGCCGAATCGTTAGCGTATTATGGATGTGGCCAAAATGTGCTCAATTATCCCAATGCAAGCCTTGATGATGCCCGTCTCAATTAACATCATGCTCAGAGGCCTAAATCGCTGTGTCGTCAGCTCTGACATGAGTGATTCATCATCAAATTATGGTGAATCCTAAACATTATCTGGCCGCAACTCACCGTTCTCTGTAACAACGACATCCGTGTGGGCGCTGCCGAATGTATGGATGTGATCGATAGCCTCATTGACATCGTCCACAACTTCAATACAGCACTCCAGGGCACTGTACTCGTGGCGCATGGATTTGGCCACGGCGGGTCCGAATGTCAACAATTTATTCAACTTGGGCCCAGAGTATATCTTCACACCCTCCTCCTTAAGCATATTGCAGACGCTGGTGAAGAAGTCCCCTTCCATGAGGTCTCGGTGGATGAGCAGCGTTTCCATCGCATTGCACGCTGGAATGGCAGTTTGAGAAAAGTTAATGCGGAACAGAGACGTGAGGAGTAATGGAAGGAAAAATCCACTCTCGGGAGCAATGGTGGACGCGACATAATGCTAATTTACCTGCGGGATAGTCGCACTTTGAGTCTTTAATTATCTTCAATGCCTTCTCCAGATCTGCTTCTCTGTCGACAAAGACGTGACAAATGCCCTCAGCGTGTCCGAGCACAGGTATGTTCTGGCTCTGCTGTTGGATGCTCCTCACCAGGTCTGAGCTTCCACGTGGAATAATAAGGTCAATGTGTTTATCCATGGAGAGAAGGTCACTAATCTCCTCTCGGGTTGACACTAGGGATATAGCATTGGCAGCTCCCACAGTGCCTAGTGCCTCCTTCACCAATTCCATTAGAGCTTTGTTGCTGTTCACCGCTTCCTTGCCACCTTTCAGCAGACACCCGTTGGCTGAGGCCATGGCCAGTGCGCTTATTTGCAGCAGAGAGTCGGGCCGAGATTCGAATATGACCAGCAGAACACCAATCGGCACTGTGACCTGTGTCAGCTGCAAATCCTCCGCCAGTTGGGTTCGTCTCAGTACACGTCCCACTATCTGCGCACCGTGTGAAAGAAATCGATTGAAAAGTACATTAGATGATGAAGATATTTGAATTTCTATTAGGAAAGCATTGTGGGAATTGCAAATGGTGATAGATTGAAAGTTCACGTAAATGCAATTCGCGAAAAGGTCAATTATTCAGGATTTTTCTTTGTATTCCACCGTTGAGTATTCAAATTCCCTCTTGTACACTTTGCTTTTAAATATCTTTCTGGACCTAATTCACTTAAAAGTTCGTCAAATATGTTTAGTAAAAAATTCAACAAAGTTTTGCGATTTGTCATTTTCCATTAGACTAATGGAAAGCACTATCTGGAAAGTGAATCCACGTGCATTCACTTTGCAACGCGTGTGTTTATCTCATATGAATAGACTGTTTGACATGATATGATGAAAAAATGTATGTCGCCTTGATGAGTTAATCCATCTTTGAGCCAAAATAATAATTAATGTTATTAAAACTTTTAAATAATCAATATTTAACTAGTTATTGATTTATATACTATATTGTCTGCGTAACAAAGAAAAAACTTATTTGATTTGCTTAAATGCTCCGCCTCATGATAAGCTTAAGTACACAGATTGGTTGCTCTTGTAGGTGTCATTATATATCTAATTTCATATGTCACTCATTTTGTTAAATTAGGGCGAGAAAGTGTAAATGGAATAATTTCATGATATTTTAACAACTTTTCCTTTCAAAGCAACTAACGTTGTCTTCAGAGAATTTATTAAAGAAATGAGATAGTGAAAATCAACTCTTTGTAGAATCTTCATCCTCTCTGGGGATTCCCAAGAAATGAGCATTTCTCGGGAATTAATCATATATATTCGTCTTAAGTCCTTAAGACGTAGACAAAAGATTTCTGAGAACAGAATTAATTTACTCTACAAATAAGCTCGTCTACTCAACTCCCAATTACAATTATTTTTCAAAATTTTGCGTATACGGTCACAGACGAGATTTACGTAATTTATTTTATTAACGGCATCATTTGTTATATGTATTTTCTCTGGTTTTGATCTTCTTGTTATAAGATGGAACATTTTGGATTGCCTGACAAAGAAAAAGTTGGGAATTATTTACTACTTTCCTCGGCAAATGGGTGGATTGTCATGAAACATCTTCGAGTGGAGCGCGTGCTCTCAAGATGTGTGCATTGCAACAATAGACACTGTTAGTGGGAGGAGAAACATCTCACTCAGGAAGTGCCCTTCAATGCAAATCGCACTCGTTGAAAACACTTTGTATATCACACTATAACATGAATTACACTGGATCACAACTATTTTATGCACTCTAGTCAAGTCAGTGAAGCTTCGCTTGGAAAATTCAACTGCTTTTTTTTTCTTTCATTGTAAGCCGCAGTTTTGCCTTTCCTCGCCTGTTCTTTTCTCCATCGCAACTCTTGTTTCAAATAATGCTTCCTCTTGAACACTTTCAAGTGCAAGCATGTGGAATATTCAGGGAAACAATAAAGCTTCAACCCACGAAATACAACACTCAAACTCTATACTCTGTGGTTTTTCCGATGGATTGTATCTCTCGCTTGGATGACACATCGTAGGAAGAGAGTCTTGAGCTCTACTTTGCTGTGCAGTCTCAATGCAGAGGAGAGGCATACCTGTGTAAATACTTTCCGACATGGCCAATTGTACATATTAAACGTGCATTTGATATAGCTATTTGCTGTTATGCAGGGGGAAATATTTCTTTCTTTTGTCTCTTGAGTGGCTTGAAGAAGAATGCTTTGTGTTTTCGCATTCACACAGTTTTCGTTCATGATCTTCATGATGTAGAATGTGATGTAAATTCAAAAACAGACGAGATAAAATCTCAATTGTTTGAAAGTAAATTTTACTAAGTTTTTGAATGCATATGAAAACGAACCCCGTGCTCATTTTATATATACATAATACGACCCTTTAGAATATATCTATGATACAAACATGAGAAAAAATTAAGAATGATTACATAATCTTTTCAGCACACTCTGACACTTTTTCATCTATGAAAATACCACAAATCATGCTGAGGATGCAAAAAAAACGTATAATCAATTTTTAATCTAAAATATTCAATACTATTACTTATGTATATGACAAAAATGTCGAGTAATTCAAATTCACGTAGAAATTTTTCGTTTTAGATAAATTTCCCTTGATGGCAATTGTGTTCAAGAATTTCTTGTCTCTATGCTTTTTCACTAGGAATATTATTTTGTTCAAAATTGAGTGAGCAATATAAATTCAACACGAGCTCTTGCTCTGAGGCTGAAATAAATGAAATTTCATATTGAATTTTTCTCCTCTGTGTGGCAAAAGACAACCCATGTCAGGGGTCCATGTGCAAAAGTTTGCCTGGCACACGGAAATGTCTATTTAAATTTTCTCCGGTTCATCTTTATAAATGAATTTGTAATGTTAGCTCAAGGATCAGGAGTGAGTGAGTGAGAGCCGGGCAGAGATTACACCTTAAATTTATCTTATGTGTAATTTTGAGGCGGGATGGGTAAAACCATCGTAATCTCATTGTGGGCTGCGCATTTCCACTTGTATATCTGTATTCTTACCTTGTGGCTGGAGTCGGCGATTTGCTTCAAACCAACCGAGAGGCCCTTCAGCTTGGATGGTGTTAGCGATAATCGCGACTGAAGGGGCTTCGCGAGGCCGGATTTGGTCGCCTCGTTGAGATCAACTCCGTTCGCTTCCAAGATGAAAGATTGCTTTGAGAGAACCAAATCCGCCAAAACATTCACAGCGTCCGCTCGTTGATCTGCAGATAAACTTTGGAGCACTCGACTGCCAAGGCGCGCTGTAATTGGGATAGTTGGAACAATCATAAGTTGAAAGTTTGCCGGGCTGCGAGGGGGTGAAGACACTTCGTCCAGCATGAAACACATTTGTTCATTCAGTCTATATATAGCGTGTTGTACCGAAAAGTTCAGAGATGAATTTATGCACAATATTCTGAGATTTGGAAACTTCCAAGCAAATAATACATCACAAGCGAAATCACATGACCCAGTGTAGTTTGCTTGTTACCCGCAAAGACCGTGGATGGATTTCTTCCGCTTCCCATAAGCTCATACATCAACATCATCAACATTGATGAAATGCATTGAACAAACTTTGGTCCTGATGAATTTTCCATGATTAATTGAAACAGACTTTTCACATAGAACCAACGCTGAGTAAGCTGGTGAGCAAATATCCCGAAGATACAATATAATATGTGATACCTTTGAACATCCGCAGTTTGTACGAACAAATGAGTCAATACCAGAAATTAAACAAAGCAACATAATGTATAAAGAAGAATTTTGCAAACAATACCTTTGCCAACAACATGCAAATGCACTCTCTGAGAGGTGAAACAGAGAGCTTAAACTCACCATTTTCCGCTAGAATTTCCACAGGTGCCGTCTGTCCGCTGCCCGGACCAGTTTCCGTGAAGAATGTCCCAACTTTTCGCCCCCCAATTATTGTCTTGATTGCCTTCTCTTGAGTACCATTGCAAATTACAACGCTCACACCTCGGTCCAGCGCCCACGTAGCAGCACTCACTTTGGAATCCATCCCTCCAGTTCCGACCTGAAAATAGAGAACGAGCAAGAAATAATTTAACAAGCTTCTCAGATATCAAGAGAATTTTTCCAAATAAATTGAATTATTTTTATTGAGGAATAGAAGGTCAGATGACCTCCATTGTATTGTCTGAACACTTAGTTGGATGCATGATTGTTATCGTTGAAAAAAAAAAATTGAATAATGTCTCGCTGGTTTCGCTAGTAAAATGAGGCTGCCAAGATACACAGCATCCCCATCATCTTATAAATGTTGGAACTTTCTTACTGCATGTTGAACAAAGACGAATACTTAATAAAATTAAAAGTGTTTTTCCTACTCCCTCCAGCGACTTACTCAATGTTTGTATACATTTGTTTGGAGCAGAGAATAAACATTATTCATCATGATGCTACATCAAGTTCTTGTCAGATGAACTTTCATACGATTAAAATGTTCTTTTTTCTGGCAGCGAGTATTTGAATTGACTGGGTGTGAGGGACAAAATATCTTTTCTGCCGCGAGTAATAGAGAAATTATACATCAATGTATATGGAAGTTGTTAAAGTAGCATGAGAGAATGCGAGAGGGAAGCAAAAAAAGCCGTACGTTCGATAAGAAGAAAGTTGCGATTATTAACTTTTGCGCCAATTGGCCAATTTATACCCAATTTGGCCATCATAGATTTTATGAAATTGAGTGAATTGATCCAGACTAAGGACTTTATTAGAATACCGTGTTCGGTGAACAGATTTTGCAGGAAAGTTTGGCATTTGGAAATTGCTCAAATTGCTTCACTGTTGAGAGTTTGTGGAAATTTTAATACAGTTGATTGGAGAGGTGAATTCATGAAGTTCATGATATATTAAATTGCTTAACTCCATACTCTACCTTCGACTTTTTCCCAAACTGTATAGCATTCCGGTCATTTGATGTATACGTCGACATGAGTTTGGCCCCGTCTTCCCACGGTGGCTTATTGTAAATGCCATCGACGTCTGACATGAGAATCAGGAGATCAGCTTGAATTTCAGCTGCCACCATAGCAGCCAGACTGTCATTGTCTTTTATACTAATACCCTGAAAGCAGTATTATAGTTAGGTGATTAAATTTGTTCTGCCAATACAACAACGCTATCCTATCAATTCATTCCCTCTGGCTTTCCTGAATATTCACAATGCAAGTTTCCATGACACATAACAAATGCTTTCATTCTCCAAAGTTCATCAAAGCATTACACTTGATAATGTACATAAACCTTAGCTTAAAATCCTATTCGCACAAAGCTATCGGCGTAACCGGTATACACATATTGTATCTCATTAAGGATATTGCAAAATCTCCATTTACATGATTATTTTCCACATATCGCAGTTGCCTTTCGGGAGAATGAAGCAAAATATAGCATTTGTGTGCAGGCAATCATTTGAGTGAGCAATAATTTTTCAAATTTCACATAAAAGCAAGTTCGGCGAAATTCACCTTTTTGGGTCCAGTAACTTCCTCATCCACTATGAACATTGGCGGCGAGACCGCATCGTTTGTATTCACGATCGGAACAATATTTAGACTTATTAGTTCCGATAGTGTACAGAACAGATTCTTTCTCGTCTCTTCATTGTAGAAATCCGGTTTGGTCACCAATACCTTTCACCGCGGGCGCCACAGGGTGCGGAAAAGAACAAGGAATAAAGACATGAAATAAGCGAGATGCGGAAAATTCAATTTAGTATAACATTATTGATGAGAGTTCATATATTGATTTGATTTGTGTCATTCAATTGATTCGCTTCAACTTACTTGAGCAATCTTAACCCCATATTGCGCGAACATAGCGTCATACAGTGACCTATACATGATATATTCATTAGGATTGTAGGAATAATATATAGTGTTCATGTTGCCATTTTTTCAACACTGGAATTGTTCTTAACTCACATTAATCCTGATTGACCCACAGCAGCAGCAGCACGAGGTTCTATTGACCCAGCATCCTGCAAAGGAAGGCGAAAGCATGAAAAATGTCCTTATAGAGGTCCTGGCACACTCTTAGATATATGATACCGGCATCATATCATAAATTAAATGATTTATGAGAGCAAACAGGCTGGAACAAGCCAAAGTTTTACATGTATTTACTACGAATAAACACAATGAAACTGATACACATTTCTCGATAACACAAAATTTCGGTGATATGTCTTTAACGACCATATTTGGTGATAACAGTATCTCAAGTTCAACAATCTGTTATTATTATTTTACAACTCTTACGCTTGGTAACTGATAAAGTGTGAGGAAAATTTCTCCCCGAATGCCTTTCCATCCGTACATTTTAGTTCTGTGGCAATTTTTCCACTCTCCATGTTTCATGGGTCAGTGAGTAAACTCCTAAAATCTCTGGCTCTGCAGATACCGATAGTAATCAGTGAGTATGGCTCCAAGGCACGCGTCAGGTCATGAGTATAACCGTAAAAATGTATGTATGGAGCTAAAGTCAAAAACTATTGCAGTGTATCGAAATTCATTTCATTCCAGCTGTGATAGGCATCAATATGAATATTGGATGCACAGTTCCGTACCAGCGGATGATGAATTTTTCAGTGAAAACTCAGTGCTTAGGGCTTTCGTATATAATAAGCAAAGTGGATATTCAAAAACAGTATAGAGTTCCTTCATTCGCTATACTGTTTACTGATTTAATAGGGGCTGTCGATGGTAATTACCTCTCGGGTGTGATCCTTGGGTGAGAGAGTCTCTCGCATGGATAATGACATCAACAATTCCTGCGTTAATTTCTGCTTTCCAAATGCGACAGCACCGCTCGTCACCATAATACAGTCACGTCCCTCCAGTTGGCACTCCGCAACCTACAGGTATATATAATATGATAGTGGTCGAGATTCAGGTTCATCGGTGCGACGAGTGTAATCTTGCCAGTGGTGACATTTATTCATCTCATCACTGAAGGCCAATAGATAGCAATTCAATTGTCTCTGGAGTTCAATCGATATCTCTCCTCCAAATGAATTTCTTGCATCCATACCTGTTCCACAATGGACGCCAAACGTCCCAGCGCAAGACCATGCTCATCCTCCCGAGTAATCACGGCACTACCCAATTTTATCACGAGTCGTCGGGCATACTTCAGTTGGCTCCGGTCCGAAAATAGGGATGGCCTCCGTTCTGTTTGTAGGGTTCTCTTTTCCATCTGGTTGATTTGCTGCAATAAATTTCATATAATTACATCAACGCATGAAATTGATAATTTTCCAACTCCCACACACAAACTTCCCAAATTTTCCACACTGGAAATTTCCACCCGGAGAGCATCTTGGACGGTTTATCAAGTACTTGGAACTTTATCGGTGTCCCCAAAAAGAATTTCGAAACCCCTTTCATCGACATGTGGGTATTTAGGTCTCATAAGCAACTCACCCATATCTAACTATGTAATACTGATGGTGGAAAATTTCAGAGTGTGAGACTTCATTCTCAAATCGTCGCATTGACTTGCCTTCCCAAGATAAAAGCCGTCTTTGATTTGCCAAAAACCTCCTAATTATTCTGACTTGCTCATGTTAATTTCATGCCGGCAGTGAGTGTTTACCTTATCAGCTTGTGAGTATGACAAAGAAAATGTGATTGGAAGGCTAAAGATAAGAGTGAATGCTGAGAATGTGTTTTTATGCATTTCCCTTTAATGTTTCTTATCCTGCCGATTTTTCAAACACTTCAACTTCGTAATCAAGAGAGAAATCAAGTCAAACTTAACCCTTCGCCGTTATTTCCTTATAATGAAACCAGAGAGGGAAGAATCGGGGAGTGAAGTAAGTGTATGACACTCAAAGACTCATCATTGAACTTCGATACTTTATTCAGGAAATTATTGAAGCATAAACTCGTAATGTTTTATTATTTCGTCTCCAGACTTTTTGCTCATAGTGTGGTGTGACTTTGTTGGAAAAAAAGTAATGTACTTGAATGTTTTGAAATGAATGAAATTGAGTTGTTTACAAAATATTCATGCCCGAAGACGACACCAACATTGTCTCACTGTGCTGCTTCAGCATCATACATATTTCCCAAGAGAATATCCACAAACAGGAAACTGCCATTACATAGACGACACTGTGCACTGTAAATTACATATGTCTGACACATATGTCCAAATACAAAGTCACGCGTTTTACTACCCTCAGTCACATCATCTGCAGCGGAGAAATTCATTTGGAACTGAGGATGTGCTCCTCTATTTAATTTGATCTCGTTGGCATTTTAACCTTGAGAGCCTCATTCTCATGGTGCTGAAGAGAGGACCGCTCATGCAGTGGAGAGTTGGGGCTCACTATATTCTCATATGTGGTGCTTCCTAATTTATATTCGCGAACTTTGTACATTATAGTGTTGAAACAAATGGTGGGTGGAAAGCTCCTTTCCGGGTCTGAATATGATTATCATCGTTATTGTACTTAACCAGGTGGAAAATACACCTCCACCCTATGCAGAGCATCAAATATTGAAGGAGCTCTCGGTTTAGGGTGAGTAGTGGGAAATTTTGGTGTCAAAATCAATATACAAACCCCCTCTTGCCATCCCCATTCCTCCATTATTCACCTATTCCATGATGGAAATTGTAGCATTTGAACCCCCAGCGTAATACGGATCAATAAATAAATACGTGAGTGAAATCGCATTGTTGAATTTTCACTTTATCTTTAAATATTTCATTATTTCTCATCAGTGTAATGCAATTTGTCCGGACTGACACTCTTTTACGGGAAACTCTGGAGGATTCTACTTACATTCTGGTTGGTTCGATGCCATAGATTTGACGAACCAGAAGTGTGGCGCACGGACACATCCGTCTGGCGATACTTTGCTGAGCCCCCGAGCAAAATAATTCTATCTCCATAGATAACCCGCCGTCCCATGGCAAGCGAGCGAAACCCGCGCAATAGAATCGGTGCCATTTTTTCTCCCGTCTCTCTTTCCCGAACTTTCACACAAATTTCCGCCTTTCTCCTTCACTTCACAGAATCAAAAAGGACGAAGAACAGGACGAATATGGATAGAGATGACGAAGAAAAGGGGTGGAACGGGAATTTTGTCGTGGGTTTGATGTAAAAAGGAGAAGACGGCACAGAAAAAAAATAAAGTTTCCGCTCTTTATGAAGTATGAAATATCAGAATATTTTTCCAGAGCTGAGCTGTATCCAATCAGTAAGATCTTTTCAATGTACCCGTTTCGCAGATGGCATTACTCTGTATAGAGAAAGTTGTGCGGAAACTTATATAATGAAATTCACAAGACGGAGTTGGGGAATCAAAAACAGCACTTGTGACCTCGCGTCACTATACCAATAAAAACGTCTTCAGCATCCACCACAAAAAGGATAAAGGCAAGAAACGCAATAACACTGGACACACAGGGACAAGAACTCAGATTGTGTAGCACAAAATCGGTCGTAAGATCTCGTTTAGCAGAGAGCCACGAATGGACTGAAGTTCGATAGAGTGATCCCAACAGTAAATCCCAAAATGGCTATCAATACCCAGAGTTTTTGCTTTTAAAAATGTCTCAACAATCCCCAGAGAGATAAGGCGGTATCCGTTATTGTCATTGCTGGACTCTCGCAATCACTGGCATTGGGGTGAGTGACGAACAACACACATGCAAGTTTAACTCCATAAGACGATTCGAACTGCGCTTGTAGATACAATTGAATTAAATGGCTTATCAGTGAGTCTGATGCAGGTCAATCTATTTGTGATGCCTTCACACACTGCGGCGTATGTTTTGATTTTCTCAATGTTCCCGCTGATAAGATATCCCTCGCATTTCGCCACATAAAAATTCGAGTAGACGCACTGAAAAAGCCACTCTAATCATTAATCAGCTGCTCACAATATGATAGCTTTCCTTGACAACACTTCCTAAACAATAAAATCAAAATATTTTCCATGCAAATTTTCACTCCATAATACCGCTTTTTCGTTACTTTAATAACGAGTTTTCTCGAGTTATTATTGAAAATTCAATTTTGTGTATGAATGCCAAACATGATTTCTAAAGCGCGAACGAACAAATGTTAACAATACATTGTTTTATGTTAATAGAGAATGATCAGAAAATTAATTTTACTGATGGATTTGTAATCACTTAGTGCGCAATAGTTCATTATAGTTTATACCGTTTGTAATTCATTTTCGCCCATAAACCCAGCTTAATTTCAATCAATTTGGCACTTTGAATGCAAATAGACATCGTTATCGCTTTTTGCATTGGAATTACATTATACAGGTCAATTGTAATTAATCTGCAAGCACGAGCAAAGAGTGTTCAGTTCAACTAAAATATATGGGCGCCAATTAGAAATTTCAGACAGGAAATATTTATTGTGTGGAAGTGAAAATAGTAGAACTCAGAAGAATCAATGTAATTGTCTAAGAGTTTTTGCTTTTCTCCGTATGGAAAATATCTATTTTCTGTCTTTATGCTAATATATATACTTATTTGTACATAATTTAGCAGTGTGATTTGAAAGTGAGACATTTATTATATAATTGTACAACAACAACTTGGAAACTCGGCTTAATTGGAACTCTCCGTGGGTGAAAACTCGGTGGTTGTTTGAGTGACGGTGTCGTCGGGAATGCTAATTTGGAACTGGAGTAAAACAACCAAATACGTGACCATTGTTGTAAGAAGGGACTTGAAGAGATTCCTGTTGACATCGAAGAAACCGCCCAAATTGATATTGGCTGGATTCATTTCCGTTGCTCGCAAGAACATGTTTATCTGAAAGAACAGTGACAGGGTGAATTTTGATGGGGATGAAAGGAGTATATGCGAAAAGAGAAATTGGAAAATCCTCTGAAGTGGCGTTCTTGACTTGGGGGAGGACTTCACCTCTGTCTGTGCGTCGATGTTCATCCAATTGAGCTCCACCATGAGGAGCTTCTTCTGAAAGTTGGTGCGCACATTGTGGGAGGCATAATGGGCCTCGTCGCAAATGAAGAAGAGTAGGCCAATGCTGGAGAATGCGGTAACAGCCAAGCCAATATCCTTCACCCCGAAACCCTCAGACAGCTGCGACATCAGCCCATAGATCGATAGGGTGATGATGAGAAAGAGGTACAAGTTGATGAACGTGAATGTGTAACAAGTGGCCGTTCCTGTGTCCCGTGCTAGTTTACTCAGTCGAAGCCACAAGGACCGATATTCCGCCACCATAGCTGCCGGTCCAATGTTACGCAATGCCTTGTAATTGCAAATGAGACAACATTTGAGTCCATCCCGCACTTGCATACCTAACGCGTAATTGTGGTTAAAATAAGCATGGCTCTGGGCAAATATGCTGCACATTTCTCCACTATTTTCCACATTTTCCATCAGCACATCTCTTGAAAATTTCAACATTGCACTGCATACTTGTGTGCATTGTTAGGAGCCAAAAAAATGCCAGGAATTCTCAGCATTCCTTTGTCACATAGAAAGCTCAGAAAGCAATGTTGTGCGGACTGATTGAGAAATACAAAAGTTTATCTGTTTCAATTTATCGGAAAAGTGGCAGCTTTATGTTGCAATCATGATGTACATTAAATGTCCTCAAACTTGAGGCTCAAAGTGTCTCATATTGGGGAACAGTAAAGTGACTGTTTTACGACTGAAAAGGGCCAAACATTGTGAAAATTGTATAGCATATCGTAAAAATTTCGTAATAATCTTCTTATATGGGGAAGAAACTGTAAAACTACACAACAAGATTTATGGTAAACCTTTTTGGTAATCAATACGCATAGTGTCAAACTACTTTATGTTGCAAATGACGTGATAGGTTGTCATTTTCAATACAGAATAATTTAAAAATTTGCAGCCAAGATTCAAATTCTTGTTCAAATATCTTGTAGGGGTGAAATTAAAACTCTCTACTTTCAATAATCAATTCAAAGTTAATCTGTGCAGGATGTTATTGCATTTTGGGTATTGTGAGTGCCATTAAATCCAGTCCGTTGAAAGGAAACTGCATCAGCATTGGTATGCCGATAGTGTGGGTAGGAAAACTATTTGTATTTAATTACTCTCTGAGCTCTCTGACATTACGCCCACTATTGAGCACTGATGCTGCTAACTTACCCTCTGAAAGTCGTCAGCCAGAACATTTGCAGCTGCACTGAGGGTCTCGCAAGATAGGTACCAGTAAGCTCCCATCATGTACGTCAGGGTATCCAGGAAACAGTATGGGATCACCTTTGTGGAGAAGCCGCAATTGAATAGGAATCGATTAGTTAAGGTGAAATTGTCAGTACAGGCAGAGCATGTGTGATGATTCTACATACCTGAGATATACGGAAATGTACCATTGTCACGTGCGTCACGACAACGGACAGTGATGCAAGTAGTGGCAGAACTATTGCAATAACCAGAGCTTTCATCTTTAAATTTATGGCCAAGGGTCTTTTGGAGACTTGAAAGTACAGCAACTGGAAAATTGTTCGCAAGAGAGTTCAGCTTATAGCGGATTTCCGTGGTATTTTCTTAAACAAATGAACTTGGAAGTATTTCGAGCTCCGCAGGTACGACGAAAGCGAATATAAATCATACTTGACGCCGGGTGAGAATGTACCATTACTGTTCTACCCACAAGCAACGTACCTCAAAATCACTCCAGTGATTCCAAACCTTTACCACCTTTCTCGACTCGTACCACATCATCGGCACTATTACCACGGGCAGGAGATTGACGAGGAACAAGTATGCGATTACGGCTTCCTCAAAACGCCCCTCCAGATTGCGGACAATGGCTATCCGCTTGATCACCACGAACACCACATAAGTCTGGTGAATTTTGGTGGTTGTAGAATTGCGCCCAGAAGTGGTGGCACAGTTGGAAATTGTTTTGGTTAATCATTTATTACATTTGTCACTCACAACGGAGATGTATTTGCAAGTTTCTACAACTTACCAAGAGAGCCGCCAGTACCACAAAAGAATAGAACATTGTAAGGGATGAAAGTCGGTATTCACTTTCTCCAGGGCGTGGCTTTGAGATCGGAAGAGCACCCATAAATTGTAGGACAATATTAATGGGCTTGGCATTTTCATAAATGATGTCCTATGGAGAGATATGTGTGGAGAAAGCATGAGGATTTGAGTAGATCGTGTAATAAGTAGATTAGGAGATGTGAGGTGAAATTTTCTTCTCAATACCGCAGGATTTCAAAGGAGTTGCGATGTTGCATTGACAGATTTCATGGAATGAATTTCGGAAATTAAACTCAATTTGGCTGAGAGAAAGTTTTTTTAAAGGAATTTTCAACTAAAGTTTCATGAATGTGAACCAATTTTAGATCCAACGTACTATGGAAGGGGTACATATGATAAATAAAATCCTGACGATTTAAGTAAATTTTTTTTCCAAATCTCTTCAGAACATTTCATTCACTAAAAAGTCACTTATCATTAAAATCTTTCGTATTTTACCCCGTAGAATCCACAAATTCCGATTTAAGCAATTTAGATCGACAAAACCTGGCAGTTTAGGAAGTTCTCGCAGTTGATAATTTTGAGTGAGTGAGAATTTCGTGAGTTTGAGCTTTACAGATTATTCCTGATTCCCACCCAAGAGATTACTACAACTTTCACTGCTCACGGTAACTTGTATTGGGTGCAAATTTACTCTCAAATTTATTAAATGAAAAGTGGTTGTACATTAATCACACTCCAAGTGCACTTTATCTCCCCGGCAAATGCTTGTAGGACTTTTATTGTGGTGTGTATTAAATACTTGTGGAAATGGGATGTGACCATCCACGGCAGGAGGCGGCAGTCCATTACTGATGCTGCCATTGCTTCGGAAATTCTGCAATTCTGTGATACTCTTCCGCGCTGTGGTAATATCCAAAGTTGGCTTCTCGTCCAGAAACACAGAACGCAAATTTGATCCGGGAACTGTATTTTTGTGCATTGTAACTTTATCACATACACACTTCCTTATACGCCAATTTCCGTCTCGGAGTCGCGCCGAATCATGTGCACTGTAAGACTCGCGGAGAGGCACTGCAAAAACATCATGAACCCTTCGGCAATTTAAGAACTTTCTGGGCAGCGCCAGAACCACCCAAAAGTGACATGGTAATGACCTAGAATTGAGCCGTGCTGCACAGACTGATGGAAGGTTAATGAAGAATCAATATGAATTTCTTATCGCACACACCATTTACCTATTGATGCAAATTGAGAGTAAACAAGTGCGACTTAAGGAGAAATCAATAGACTAAACAACAGACACTATACAGTGTCCTTCAGGGTACAATTCTTAAACTAGCAAGTCAAGGACATCACCACGCGCTCTCCACTGCCGCATGCATAAAAAGTGCTTTCTTTGCATACATATTTTTACTCCTCCAATAAAAATTCTTTTTGACTTCAGATCTTGTTTAAAGTCGTAATAAGACACCAGAGAATGCGGCTCTTTTGAACAATATTGCGTTTTAGATTTCACCTAATTAAAGGTCACGCATTTTGACACATTTTACACGCATTGTAAGCAATTTTACGCGCATGGAAAGATATCAAACTTAAAAAACGTGGAAAAATTGGAAACATATTTAATATTAAAAACACTTTAGTTTAATATGAAAATGCATTTTAAGGATAATTCCATTGATACAACCATTCAATATGAAAAAAAAAAACAATTCTGAATTTGTGCATATTTACATTCAATTGTATTAACAATCATGCAGATAAAGTATTATCAAAATATTTATTTATACGGAATTATTTTCCACTATCACATTGTTCTAATTTATTGATTAAAGATTGGTAGACTAAATGGATTAAATGAATTTTGAAAACAATGCTGTATTTATCATATTCGGAAATTGATATTTTTATATTGACATCAATTAATTTGGTTGGTCTTCAGTCGTACAAACATTAAAAAAATAATTGTTATTTATTTAAATTTTTCGATTATGTTTCTGTACTAAGGTTGCAAAATGCCCGGGATTCTTAAAATAATTTTAAAAAAACCAAATAAATGTAATTTCATGCGCTCGATATCATCTTAAGGTAGCATTAGTAAAAATATGTATAATAAATTTAATCTACTGATGTCTAGTGTGAAACATACTGCAAATGTTTATGATATGAATGCACTTAAGTGTCCGCATTGAGGTAATCAATAAAGTTGCATAATTAAATATGATATTGACTTATTTGCGCACAAGAGTGAACGTATGTCTTGATAAAAGTTTATTGCACGGTATATCTCATCTGTATATTTCTTAACGAAGGAACTTATCATATAACTTTGTAATTAATTTCATTCAGCTTGCATATTCTCATTAGCAAACTATAATAAAGCACAGAGCCAAGGAAAATTTCACACAATTATTTTTCATTATTGATGCAACCATTGAAGCATTCCATAATCTCCTACAATAAAGTAAAAATTCGACGATGGTATGTTTCATCTTTTTTCCTGGTATTCAATTCATAAGAAAATAAGTGAAGAAAAAGGTTTTGTTCCACTTTTACAGTAAACTTTAATGAAATAGCATGTATAAAAAAATTTATTTCAAAAGGACGTCAGAGAGTTCGAGCACTCGATAAATGCATGCAATAAATACTCAAAAAATGCTTTTAAAAATGTGAAAGACATTTTTTATGTATGCTTTGTCATATTCTCACGATTATTCCGAGGTATATAAGAGATATTGGTGGCGTGAATTCAATTTCGCTATTGTCTGTTATCCCTTCTTTTTCATGCTGAATATTTATTTGTCCAGGATATTTGCTTTTCGCAAAAATGCTCCACAACTGAATGAGCATTCAAATGCAGCTAAATCTCTTGTCGCGAATGCTGATACCTTCGGTTATTTATTCCATTCTCTCAAACCTGAATTCACGGAAAAGGGATTGGACAAGAGATTGGAATAAATTCCTGAAAATTACTACACCTGAAACCCGAATTTACGCCACATTTTCAGTGGGAGTTGGAATGCTTACAGATCTCAACAAGAAATGCCAGATGAACATATGTATTATAAGAAAGGACAGAGCTTTGTGAAGCACATGCATAACATACATGTTTTTTATGTACAAGAATGTGTTTGTTCTGTGTACATTGGAAGACGGTTAGTTCGGCGACGGATTAAGTGATTACATTCAAACTTTCACTCTGTTTCTCATTTTTTTGGCTCTGTTTTGTGCAAAGTTTTGTAGTTAGCTTTTGTAAAAGATGGTAAAGTGACAGGTATTTCTGACACCAAGAATCCACATAAATGTCAGTATGAGTTTGTAAGTTTCTTTCATATGTCCTGTCATATAAAGACTAATGACATGTTCTACTTCAAGTTTGTAAAAGATATGATATTGAGTTGGTGTTAATTGTGGATAAAAGTATTTTAATTTAATGTCTACCGCAACTGCCCAGACTAGATATTTGAAAACTTTCCCTTTGTGATATATTCACTGCACAAAATAAGTTAAGGTTTTCTTGTTTACCACAGTGCATATTTGTGGAGACTGGAGATGTTGCTATGGGAAGCAACCTGCTCAGTAATCGTCTACATATGTAAGTTCTCTTTGATCAAAGAGTCGTTAATTGTCTGAATTGTTCCATGAAGTGTGCTTCCGTCAAAGATTTCCCTAAGGACACGAATCTCCTTGATTTGAGCTCCTCATCTGGATGGGAAATTTATTGATCTGATAAGCTCAATGCCTCTCCCATTGAATATTGTCGTAAATCTGACAGTCACTCAAGTCATCAAACTCTTATGTACTATGGATAACATGTTGGCAACACTTTGCTGAATTAAAGCGAAAGTTGGAGCTTATTCAAGTGCCTGTTCAGAAGTTTGGGCAATTTTTTCTCGACGTCATTTGGGGGAAATATAATAATAAATCACGGATATTTGCTGTTGAGAGGATAATATACGCTGACATGTCATCAGAATAGAGCATTGCATATCTTGATGTGCACAAATATTTCAAATAACACAACGCACGAGACAGTTATCAATTAATAAAAAAATATTGAAAGCGTTTTTGGCGCATATTTAATACCTAAATCTGTTTCTTTAAGATTTTTTTTAATGAATTTTACACTTTTATTTTCATTGACCTAATTATAAATCACATCAAATTTGTGTGGCAGTAAATTAAAGTGGAAGAATCAAATAGAACAGCAAAGAGGCATTTTATCTCATAAGAAGTGTCACACATTCGAAGAACAGGGAAAAACAAAATGAAAAGACGAGGGTTTTCTCTGCTGAATATGTGATTGTCAGTACATGTTTGGCAAACGCCACGCACATATGCGTTGGTCTATATATAAATGACCAACAGACAAATACAGGTCCATTCGCTTTGACTTCATGATATTTCGTCCCTCTTTTCATATCATTACATCAAACACAATTTGGCCACGCAGCGAAAATCTCACATGTCCTGTCTGGTCACATTTAAATTGGTCCTAGCAGGACACTAAATTAATATGACAGACTTCAATTCCTACCAGCGAAATATTCGGTTGAAAGGATTGGACTCTCTCATGAAAACTCGTATGAGACAAGCGGTCACAAATATGTAAAACTCTGCATAATATGCGAATTGCACTGGAGAATTAATTCACATAATTTATTGCATTTCTTTCTATCTATGTGCATCCACTCTCAGCAGTGCGATTACCTTGGCGATTGCACAATGTTTAAAATATGGAGCTAATGCATCACACGTTGCTCATATATCCAGAACGGTGGTGAGAAAAATTACGCAGAGCGCTCAATTCCATTTCCACATCAAAACTTTTCAAAATGCTTCAAGAGTACTCCACATAATGAGAAAAGAATATTTTAGTGACATTTTCGAGGTAGAAACCGCAATATGTACATTTATGCTTTAGTCTGAGCGGCATGAAATTTTGATATCTCTAAAAGAATTCACCTGAGTTTTCCCGACACTCCGTCAGAGAGCAAAAACCATTTATGTCCACTTAAATAGTATACGAGAAAAAGTTTAAATCTTCTCCTATTTGTGAATTTAGAAACTTGGTAAGAGTTTGTAATAGTGTATGATATTCAAATATTAAATTTTTTTATCTTGCATCCACAGACTGTCAACTTTAACGGTTCTTGAAACAATTTAATTATACAAAAAGGTTAAAATTATTCGTAGAAGAGTTTTAATTTCGTAATTAGGTTGAAATATGATATTTGATCTTCTTAAAAGCTTTCAGTAGAAATTATACACTTCTTTAAATATAGACATTTCTCGTTTTGGTGGTTGGAGATTCTTAAAAGAGAATAATTTCATTCGCGACTATAATCACGATAACTAGATAATATTTTTCGATTAAAGTTCTGTTTATTCAGATTTTAACATACCATAATACACATAATATTGTATTCTTTAATTGTTTGCGCACAAGAGCAAAGTCACTGATAAATATTGTCTGAAATGTATTTATGTGGAGATTGAGAAATGATGAAGATTAAGGGATAATGAATCTCGCAGAAGGGTCAATTAGACATCGCAGAGTGAGTCTGCATGAATTATCAGCAAATTAAATGGATAAAGTGGAGCTCATTATTTATGGTAAGTGAAATTCCCTAAGAGCTAATTGATGTCCAAGGACCCTACGGCCACTTTTGCGCCATGAACAGAATCATGAATGTTATTTCCATAATCTTTACAAAGTTTCTTAATCGACGTCACTTCGTGGCGTGAGAAAATCTTCTCCGAAAGCACTTGACTACATTTTTCTTATAATGTATTTGGCCACAATGTTTTTAATAAATTTAATACTTTCAATGTTTGCTGCAAAAAGGATTTTACGGATTAAAGCTTGATAATGTAGATTTCCAAATTTATCAATTGTCTCCCCTGTCAGAACTTTAATTGAAAAATTATTTTGGGTCGATTAAAGTGCTTTTCTCTTTTAACACACACTGGGTACCA